TATGTTTATTTTTTGTGCACTTACCTGTGCATGTGCTACACTTTCAAATTTTAATTTAAAAGAAACTTTACAGTGTGTAGTAGACAAAACAATGCTCCCTTCAAATTGTCTACACCCTAATCCCCAGAACCTGTGACTATGTTAAATTACTTGGCAAAGGGAATTAAGATCACTAATCAGCTGACTTTAACATAGGGAGAGTATCCTATATTATGCAGGTGGGCACAACGAAGTCACAGGGGTCCTTAAAAGGGGAAGAGGGGGCTTCCTGGTGGCTCAGTGGTAAAGAATCTGCCTGCCAGTGTGGGAGAAATGGGTTTGATCCCTGATCCAGGAAGATCCCACATGCCATGGGGCAACCAAGCCTGTGCACCAAATCTATTGAGCCTATGCTGTAGAGCCCAGGAACTGCAACTACTGAGCCCATGCACCAAAACTGCTGAAGCCCGCACACCCTGGAGCCTGTGCTCTGCAACAGGAGAAGCCTCCCCACAATGAGAAGCCCACGCACCACAACTAGAGAGTAGCCCCTGCTCGCTGCAGCTAGAAAAAAGCCTGCACAGCAATGAAGACCCAGTGCAACCAAAAAAAAGGGGGAGGGGGAGGAAGAGAGAGTGAAAGAGACATAGATGAAGCAGGGTTAGAGACAGGTGCCATGTTATTGGCTTTGAAGATGGAGGAAAGGGCCACAAACTGAGGAATATGAGTAACCTCAAGAATCTGAAAAAGACAAGGAACTAGATTCTTTCCTACAGCCTCCAGGAAGGAACTCAGTCCTGCTATCATTTCAGTTTTAGTCTAATGACATCCCTGTTGGGCTTCTCACCTACAGAACTGTAAGATGATAAAATTGTGTTATTTTAACCCACTGAATTTGTGGTAATTTGTTTCAACAGCAATAAGAAACTAATACAGACCATGTCAGGAGAGATCAGGTGTTTGGTTTCAGACATGTTCAGAGAATCTCAATGTGTTTGACATCTTCAAAGTAGGCAGTTAGATACATGAGTCTGGAATTCACAAGAGAACTACGGGCTGGTGGTATAAATTTTGGAGTTGTCAGCGAAGAGAGAAAAGCCAAAAGAACAGATGATAGTAACAAAGGAGTGAGCACAGATAGAAAAAAGGTCTAAAAACTGAGCCCTGCCTGGTGCACTGGGAAGACCCAGAGGGAGCGGGTGGAGAGGGAGGTGGGAGGGGGGACTGGGATGGGGAATACATGTAAATCCATGGCTAATTCATTTCAATGTATGACAAAAACTACTGTAATGATGTAAAATAATTAGCCTCCAACTAATAAAAATAAATGGAAAAAAAAAAAAAACCCTGAGCCCTGGAATACCCAACTCTGACAACTGAAATAGAGTTGTTTAAATCTAGCAAGCACCCCCAAACAAGCATATACCAAGATATAAATGCAGAGCTAAGTAGGAGGTCAGAGGCAGATAGATAATTGGCTAGGCTTGTAAGAGTGGGCAGATACTGGAGGCAAGAGTGACAGATCTCAAATACAGGAAAACAGTCTTGGCAACAGGAATTATAAACTCAAACATATGCTTGGCAACAGAGGTAAGAAAATTTAAGTACAGAATCTGGGTAATATATTCTAGATGTCCGCAAAAAATGGAACCTTGGCCCTGAGCCAGCTTTCTGCCTTGTGTTTCTATTACATCCTTAATTTGATTCCTGCCTGCTGTGGGTGTCTGTCTCTCTCTCTGGCTTATCATTTGCCCTCCTCTCCCATTTTACCTCTTTTTACCTTAATGGCACATAATACAGATATAATATGTTCAATTCATGCTAAGACTTTTTTTTCACATTTTAAAACTTTTTATTGTATATTGGAGTATAGCTGATTAACAATATTGTGATAGTTTCAGGCTCACAGCAGAGCTCTTCAGCCATGTGTATACATGTATTCACTCTCCCCCAGGGGCTTTCCAGGTGGTGCTAGTGGTAAAGAGCCTGCCTGTCAACGCAGGAGATGCTGGTTCGATCCCTGAGCTGGGAAGATCCTCTGAAGAAGGAAATGGCAACCCACTCCAGTATTCTTGGGTGAAGAACTAAATGGACAGAGGAGCCTGGTGGGCTCCTCCATAGGGTTGCAAAGGGTCGGATACAACTGAAGCAACTGAGCACACACTCTCCCCCAAACTCCCCTCCTATCCAGGCTGCCACATAACATTGAGCAAGTTCCCTGTGCTACACACTAGGTGCCTGTTGGTCATCCATTTAAAATATAGCCATGGGTACATGTTCGTCCCAAACTCCCTAACTAACTCTTCTTCCTCACCCTTCTCCTGCCCCAACCAAAAGTTCATTCTCCATAAGACTTTTTTTTTCACATTTTAACACCTCCTCGGTCCACAGGATTCTCTAGGCAAGAATACTGGAGTGGGCTAGCGGAGAATCCTGTGGACCGAGGAGCCTGGTGGGCTGCTGTCTGTGGGATCGCACAGAGTCGGACACGACTGAAGCGACTTATCATGCATGCATATCCCAATAAAAAGGAAAAAAAGGAGAAGTATTGCTCTAAGTGATAGAGCATTTGTATTTCATCAAAGCTAAGATACCATTGAATCTAAAACCATTATTTTATATACCAAAAAAAGAAAAAAATGCTACCAATTGAAATATGGCATACCATCAATTTTAAGATGCATCTTGGTTTCAGAGGTGTTAAAATGCAGAAAAAAGAAAAAAGTCTTACGGAGAATGAACTTGTGGTTGGGGCAGGGGAAGGGTAAGGAAGAAGAGTTAGTTAGGGAGTTTGGGACGAACATGTACCCACTGCTATATTTTAAATGGATGGCCAACAGGCACTTACTGTGTATAGGGGTCTGCAAATTATTCCTCACCAGGGAAATGTCCATTCTATTAATAATCTTCCTGGAATAGCTTTTTGGAGCTTTTTCTTGGAGCTGTTGCTCTTGCTGACAGCAGCCTCTTCAAGTCCATGGTTGAGTGGCTCCTCCTTGAAAGAGAATTTCCTCTTTTTCTTGGGGACCCTCTTGTCTCCTGACTCTTCAGGGTCACTGACTGGTTCCTCTTTGGGGAGAGTTCTTCCTCTTGGAAAGACTTCCACTGCCAGCTGTCTCTTCAAGATCACTACTAACCAGGTCCTCTATGGAAAAAGATTTCTTTTTCTTGGGTTTGGAGAAGGAGACACATGGGTCTTCCACTCCGTTCTCCTAAGGAGCCTTCTGGGACTTTTGCAGAGCAATATTTTTCAAATTTTGCATTTCTTTTCATTTCAGGGGCTGATCTTTGAAAAATAATTTACATAAAATAACATTTGCCAATTTTGTATACAATTCAATGAGTTTACACAAATGCAACCACCACAATCATGATAAAAAATATATTTTTTCATTATTCCAAAATGTTTCCTGAAGCCCCTTTGCAGTCTGTCCCTTCTCCCCAACCCTGCCCCTGGCAATCACTGATCTGCTTGTGTGCATGCTAAAATGGCTTCAGTAGAGTCAGGACTCTCCAACCCCATGGACTGTAGCCTGCCAGGCTCCTCTGTACAAGGAATTCTCCAGGCAAGAATACTGGAGTGGGTTGCCATGCCCTCCTCCAGGGGATCTTCCCAAACCAGGGATTGAGCCCCATCTCTTGCATCTCCTGCATTGACAGGCAGGTTCTTTACCACTAGCGCCACCTGGGAAGCCCTTCTCTCACTCAGTTCAGTTCAGTCGCTCAGTCGTGTCCCACTCTTTTCGACCTCATGAACTGCAGCACCACCAGGCCTCCCTGTCCATCACCAACTCCCAGAGTTTACTCAAACTCATGTCCATTGAGTCGGTGATGCTATCCAACCATCTCATCCTCTGCCGTCCCCGTCTCCTCCCACCTTCAATCTTTCCCAGCATCAGGGTCTTTTCCAGTGAGTCAGTTCTTCATATCAGGTGGCCAAAGTATTGGAGTTTCAGCTTCAGCATCAGTCCACATCCAGCCCAGCGTTTATCATGATGTACTCAGCATATAAGTTAAATAAGCAGGGTGACAATATACAGCCTTGACTACTCCTTTCCCGATTTGGAACCAGTCTGTTGTTCCATGTCCAGTTCTGATTGTTGCTTCCTGACCTGCATACAGATTTCTCAATAGGCAGGTCAGGTAGTCTGGTATTCCCATCTCTTTAAGAATTTTCTCTCACTAGTTTTAAAAACCTTATCTGTAATTTCATATCAATGAGATCATACAGCATGTACTCTTTGTGTTCTGTTTCTTTCACTCAGCATGATCATTTTGAGATTCATTCATGTAGATGGACATATGGGTTCATTTTTAATTAAGTAGTATTTCATTCTATGGATGTGCCATATTTTGTTTATGCATTAGTGGGCTGACAGACATTTGGGTTGTTCCAGTTTGGAGCTATTATAAATAATGCATAACTGGCCTTTTTAAAAGCGGGAAGGAGGTCAATCCTATCTAAAGTGAGTTGGATTTTATTTTCTCCTACCTACAGAGGATCAGTACCATGATAGATTCCTATTACTTTTAAAAAGAGTGGTGAAAACAAATCTCACACATTTTTGTCATAATGCTCCTTTAAATGTCAGTGTTTTGTGCATATTTATTAAATATCTGTGAATCCTAAAAAATATAAGGAAAAGAAATTCTAAAGGTTCTGAAAGCTCACTTTACTACCAATAATAGAAAATACAAGTCGTTCCCCTAGTGAGGTAAACTTTGGATAACATCGGTTTTATCTCTGGAAAACGAAGCCCGCAGAATGTATTTTTTGATCTGAAAAGCATTAACCTTTCAAGATTAAAGAGTCAATTTACTTACAGACACCCTGAAATACTACGACTCCAGAACTCAGGCAGAAGCGGGTAAACGCTTTGGATGCCGGAATTTGTAGTCCGTGAAATACTCGTCCTAACCAAGATGGCGGATATGCTAATGAACTGCCCCGAGGGAGTCTGGGCCGCGAGGGGATTGGGTAATGCGGGGATTCCGCGGGCGGGAAGCTAAGACCAGGTGTTACAACCTTTCCAGCGAAGGAAGCCGGATGCCCTAAAGTCTCGCGAGATCCTGGTGGGGCCCAATGGAGCGTTGGGGTCGGCTTATCACTAGGAGAGCTTGTTGGGGGCGGAGCTCTGCCCCGAGCGGGCCGGGAGTCGTAGGTACCCGGCGTAACGGCGCTTAGGCCGAGCTACCGCGGTGCGGAGCGAAGCTGTGGCCATGAAGGAGGAGAAGGAGCATAGGCCTAAGGAGAAGCGAGTAACCCTCTTGACTCCCCCAGGTGCTACAGGAAGCGGCGGTGGGGCTTCGGGAGACAGCACCAAAGGGGAAGATAAGCAGGATCGGAACAAGGAGAAGAAAGAGGCATTGAGCAAGGTGTCTGACCGGCTGTTGGCCCAGGAGAGGGCGGGACGGTTCCACCACCCGAGAAAGATGGTTGGGAATGGGGCTGTCCTCTTCCTCTCCCAATCTCTTCCTCTGTTTCTTCACTTGAGTGAAAATAGCATCACCCTGTCTCATCCACTCGCCCAAAATAGGGGTCCCCTTCCCGGCCGAGCCCCAGGATGGGAGTGAGAGAGGGCGGGGGGATTCCCTGACTAGAAGGGTTTAGGTCAGAGCCGTGAGATGATGATGGGAGGGGGGGCGATAGCGAAAAGGATGAGGAATTGAGGGGGAATTATTAAATAGGAAGGTGCTATCACCAGCGGGAGTAGTACGTGATAGGAATATTAACAGAGGTTAGTTGAGGGAACGGGTGGGTGGCGGCTATTATTGGTCTTGGGACCAGATCGGGTACATTCTGTTCGGGGAGCAATGAGGAAATTGGGGATATTTCTTAGAATTTTGAATTCTTTATGCTGACTGAATAAGGACTTTATCAATCAAGAATTCCTGGCACCCACAAAAGACCAGGGTTGGTTTACTAATTTCTTACCACTACTGAAAAATGGGTGACAGAAAATGAGGCGAAAACAGTAAACTGTGGGGCTTCGGGTTAACAGAACCTAAGATTTCCTTGCTCCAGGCAGTTCTCGTTTCTGAGAGTTTTTTGTTTTTTTTAACTATGTTACTGTTATGTTTGACTAATCATTCTGAGCGTTCTGAACATTCTCTTGGGTTTTTAGAAGTGATCTCATCTTTTAAAGGCCAACTTTCTTCAGGGACAGTGATTCAGGTATGACAGAAAATTGATTTGTACTAATTTTATTTTCCTTATTCATTTCTTAAGGTGGTAATTCGGAGATTACCGCCCACTTTGACCAAGGAGCAGCTTCAGGAACATCTTCAGCCTATGCCTGAGCATGATTATTTTGAGTTTTTTTCTAATGATACTAGGTAAAATAAGAGGGAGGGGTAAATGAAAAAGGTTTCTTCCATTCTTTTTTTTAATCCTACTCATGATTTCTATTTGATTTTTGAGCCTATCTTTTTAATATATGCATACTTGTAATTCAGCCAGACACCTGCAAGCACATTCACATAATTGCTTTCCTCCCTGCAGTTTGTATCCTCATATGTATGCAAGAGCATACATCAACTTTAAAAACCAAGAGGACATTATTTTGTTCAGGGATCGTTTTGATGGTTATGTATTCCTTGACAATAAAGGTGAGTCCTTTTAACTGAAGGGGAGTTTGTCATTTGTATGTTGAAGACAATGTATCCCTGTTCTCTTGGTGCCTTCATAGTGTTTCTAAAATCCTGAGTACTAAGATGAGCAACATTTAAAGAGTTTTACGCATTTGATAAGCTTATGACAACCTTATAAATAGATAATATGACTTTTTGCAGGTATTTGTATTAACCTATTATTTCTGTAGTTTGTCAACCGAAGGAAATTGCCACTGTTTTCTCCTCCTGTGACAGTTCTTTTGCCCTGTTTTAGGTGATCCATTGTCTTGAGTATTTACTAGTTTTAAGTGATACTGACAAGTGACTCTTTAAACTTGTATGACAAGTTTTAAATATTTACTTCTCATCTTGCTTCAAGGACCAATACTTATTTAATTCAGATCGTTTATGTCAATAGTTGCCAGTTGGAGTACTGTTTAACATTCTAAGTTGTATGTAATTAAACCATTGAGCTTGATGATTTCCCACTTCCTATCCAGGAGTTTATAGGGAAGAAAAACTTCTGCATTAATCCTCATTTTGTTATCTGTTGCTTGCAACATTTAGCCAGAGAATGTCCAAGCTGTTTGCTGCTTTTCTTTTGGCTTTGCCATATTGAATGATGTGTGTTTTTGTTAGATTATATTTTTTCAGTATTACTTCAGAGTTGGTAAAAATGAAATCTTTGTCAGGGAATATGCCAGTAAAAGTTGAAGAATTGCTACTATGTTTGTCCAGTTTTTATTAATCCCCCCAAACCAGCTACTTTTCTGCTCCAGCTACTTTTCTGCTCCACAAGTTTATTTCAGTAGATAGCAAGTGATTTCCTGAAAATCTGAGTTGTGTTTAACTTTTTCCTCTCTTTATCCCTTACATTTAAACAAGTGATGGATTTTGTCAATTTATTGCTTTTTAATATCTTGTTCATCTAGACTGAGGATGTTAGACTTACTGATACTTTCACACATCATCATCACCTAATGCTTAGACAACCACTCTCTCTAAACATAGAAATTTTTTTTAGAATTTTCTATTTTCTGTATAATTTAATCTTACTTTGCCATGAAAATAATCTTTTTTAAAATAGTGACTTAAGACAGCAGTTGTGGAAAAAAAGTCCAAATTCCTTAGTCAGGTAGACAGCATCCCCCATTGTTTGGCCTCGCTTCTAACTTTTTTTTCTTTTGCCTGTATTCCACAATTTCCTTCAGTCTGGTTTATCTATTCCTTTTCAGGTATATCAGTTATTAAGGTAATATGATTCTGCATTCACTAGGATTTCTAAAATCTTGTTTCCTCTGTGACTGCTTTGTGATCCCTAATGGTCAGTTCTGGTAATTCATCCTGGCTTATGTTTACACACCAAAGATGTGAAGATTGTCTTTTATACCTTATATGACTTTATTCTATAGCAAGGATTTGATGTATTTTTCCAGTAGTCACTTAGGTTTTTAAAAAAATTATTATTGAGATATAACTCATCCCATAAAATTCAGTGGTTTTTAGTATATTCACAGAGTTTTATAACTATCACCACTGTGTAATTCCACAATGTTTTCATCACTTCAAAAAGAATCCTATATTCATTAATTTTTTGAGGAATCACCATACTGTTCGCCATAGTGGCTGCACTATTTTATATTCCCACTAGTAATGCCTGAGGGTTCTAATTTCTCCATGTCCTTGCCAACACTTGCTATTTTCTGTTTTTTTCCTCCTTTAATAGTAATCATTCTGACAGGTATAAGGTGATATTGCATTGTGGTTTTGATTTGCATTTCCCTAATGATTAGTGAGGTAATATTTTAATCTCTTCACATTCTTGAGCACATAGCATCTTTTCATTTGCTTATTGGCCATTTATATATCATCTCTGGACAAATGCCTATTCAAGTCCTTTGAACATTTTAAAATCAGATTATTTGGGGGTTTTTTTGTTGTTGTTGTTGAGTTACAGTTCTTTACATATTCTGTATATTGACCCCTTATCAGATATATGATTTGAAAATATTTTCTCCAGTTCTGTAGGCTTCCTTTTCACTCTGTTGATTGTGTCCCTAGATGCACAGAAGTTCTTGATTTTGATGCAGCAGTTTATCTGTTTTTCACTTTTGTTGCCTGTGATTTTGGTGTCTCCTGCTGTATTTTTTAATAATAGCTTTACTGAGAGATAATGCATGTACCATAAAATTCACCCTTTTAAAGAATTGCAGTTCATCATTTTTTAGTATATTCACAAAGTTGTGCAGCTATCACCACAATCTAATTTTAGAACACATTCATCAAACTAAGAAACCAGGTACCCATTAGTTGTTACACCCCATCTCTAGACAAGCACTAACCTACCTTCTATCTCTAGCCTTTTCTGGTTTTGTAAAAAAATCAATTAAGGTATAATTTTCATTTTAAAATGCATCCATTTTACATGTGCATTTGGTGACCTTTGACATATTTATACCCCTGTATAGTCAGTATTGTGATCTTGTTTTGTTTTTTGTTTGTTTGCTTTTTGGCTGTGCCATGCAGCTTACAGTATCTAATTTCCCCCACCAGGAATCCAATCTGGGCCCCTGAAGTGAAAGTGCCAAGTGTTAAGCACTGGACCACCAAGGATTCCCTTTAATATATTTTTTAAATGAAAATTAGTTTGTAGATTTCCCCCCCCAACATATCACAATATCAGAATTTAGAGGTGGAATTTAAATGAATATTTTAATTCCCTCCCATATCTTTTTGTTATTTTTTTGGTATGAATTGGGGACTGCTTTGGTAACATGTTGATTTTAGTTGTGCCAATGAGATTTATACCTTTTGGGAGACCCTATTCAGATCACTGTCATCAAAGGAAGCCTAGAGAGCAGGGAGTTGAGTCTCTTGTATCCATTTTTGACATTTTCTTTCTTTTAGCAAGTGTGCTATTTTTTTCTAAACAGGTCAGGAATATCCTGCCATCGTAGAATTTGCACCTTTTCAAAAAGCTGCAAAAAAGAAGACTAAGAAAAGAGATACTAAAGTTGGGACTATCGATGATGGTATAGTATAGCTCTAGTTACTTAATGCGCTAATGCCATGTATTTTTTTAATTTAATCTTTGATTAATAATTGATTTACAATGTTGTGTTAAAGTGATTCAGTTATACATATATCTATTCTTTTTCAGATTCTTTTCCCATATGGATTATTACCAAATACTGAATAGAGTTCCCTGTGCTATATAGTAGGGCCATAGATTTTTAAAAGAATATATTACCTTTGTGGGAATTGAGTGGACTCCAATCTTTTAAATTAAGAAAATATATGAAAAAAAAGCAAACAAGTTCATGAGAAATGTAATTCACTGATGAAAGCTTTGCTTGTTAGAATGGAGATGGGTTTCCTCTAGTTCTCACTCTCTTTGGCTAATGGCTTTTCATTCCTTCACAATTAAGCAATATATTGTTGACTATTGAGTAGTAAATCACCTTATATTTCATTAGAAGACAGGTATTTTCATTAGAAGACAATGGAAAAAGTCAGATGTTTCAAAGTACAACTCCTTAAGGCCCCTTACCATTTTTATGATTATTTATTTGACTTTTGGTTTACATTTGTATAAAGAGGAAGAGTTATCATTGAGAACTATGTTGGAAAAATTTCTGTTCTTGAGTAACAACATAAAGTAACTGAAGTGGTCAATCCTGTTTCTAGGCTTTGAGTATGCAGTTAACTGCACACAAAGTAATTACATTGAACTGAAATACTGGAACTAAAAAACAAATAATTGCCATTTATGGTAAACTGGATCCAGGTTTTGAGATCTCTGTAATGTGGTTGTGTTGGTTAAGGACTTAGCTGCAGTATTTTATATCAGATTGGTATTTCAGAATCACCTAGTTTGGTTTCCATTATTATTTATTACTATAATGTGTATTTTATAAAGAAAACACAGACAAGACTCAGCACACAGCTGCTTAATGACTATATCATAGATTCAGATGTTGAAGACTAGATCAGGTGACATGCTCCACAGTGCATTCTCCACATACAATATAATGACTCAAATGTGCTACCCTTTCTGATGTCGGAGGCATCTAGGAAAGAATTCCAGATATTACCATCACTTCTAGTGCCACATCTAGGACATTCCCCCTCATTTATCTGTTTAGAACACCCGATTTTCGTATTCTGAGTTTCATTAAAGTGAGGTGTATCCATGCAGGAACTGCTTACATGCTCTACATGATACTCTCTGAGGGTTCCATAGCTATAGCTTGCAGTTCTCCCATTTAAGTATGACTCTGGATTAATAGGAGTGGTGGTTTTTAAAAGCAAACTACTTAACATCCCTGGAGGTTGTGTTACAATGCATGGTGTCTCACTTTGCCTGACTCTGTCAGTATATCTAATAGGAGTTCTCAGAGTAAGTGACCAGTAAAGCCCCAAATAGTCTATCTTATGGGTATAGTTGGGTTTATTTTCAATCTTTCATGAAGTAGAAAATTATCTTCTTTGATAAGTAAATATCCTGGATAATATTTATTTTGTTTAAAGTCTGCTATATTTTCTATTTACTTAAATAATTATTTAGATCCAGAATATAGAAAATTTTTGGAGAGCTATGCTGCAGATAATGAGAAAATGACATCTACTCCAGAGACACTGCTAGAGGAAATAGAAGCAAAAAATAGAGAACTAATAGGNCAGATAATGAGAAAATGACATCTACTCCAGAGACACTGCTAGAGGAAATAGAAGCAAAAAATAGAGAACTAATAGGTAAGTGGGCAAAAGGAATTAAGTGTTATAGTTTTTTCCTCAGAAGACCTGTCAGACTCCTGCTTCATTTGTTAGCTATGTGACCATAGGAAAGGCACTAACTTCTCTGAGACTCTGTTCATTCTACTATAAAGTGCAGATAATAGCTGACTCACAGGATTATGAGAATTCATCGATAAGATGGGAAATATTCTCTGACTTATTTGCATGCGTGCTGAGTCACTTCAGTCGTGTCCCAACTCTTTGCGACCCTATGGACTGTAGCCTGCCAGGCTCCTCTGTCCATGGGATTCTCCAGGCAAGAATACTGGAGTGGGTTGCGATGTCCTTCAGGGGAACTTCCCCACCCAGGGATAGAACCCAGGTCTCTTACATCTCTTGAATTGGCAGGCGGGTTCTTTACCAGTAGAGCCACCTGAGAAGCCCCCTCTGACTTATTTAGTGCCATGTATAAAAATTTTAAGAGCTATATGGGACCTTAAGATGTTAATGAGTCTTTGAAGATCAGTTGGTATTTTCTACTAATAAGTTCATACTCGTAAAAAAAAATTTGACTTTATTAAAAAAATGAAATTGGTTACTGCACAATTGAAAAACTTCTTGAGAAATTCTAGCTTAGATGTTGGTTTTGGTAGTAAGTTGTCACTACTGCATCAGCTCTAAACGTAAGCATAGCCTCCAACCTGCTCAGGATTTCCACTCCTAGGAATTTCTCCAAAGGAAGTATGCTTTTCAAAAAGCTAGCTATGTGATTAGATAGCATTGTTCAGAATATTGAAAAATGAATTAAATATTCTTTTAAAACTTGGTTTTTATTAATGGATGCTTCCCTGGTGGCTCAGCTGGTAAATAATCCACCCGCAATGCGGGAGACCTGGGATTGATCCCTGGGTTGGGAAGATGCCCTGGAGAGGGGAATGGCTACCCACTCCAGTATTCTGGCCTGGAGAATTCCATGGACTATATAGTCCATGGGGTTGCAAAGAGTCAGACACAACTGAGCGACTTTCACTTTCATAGTATAAGCCCACCTCTGATAGTTTCCATAGAATAAATTCCCAGAAGTAGAATTATGGGGTCAAAAGTATTAGATATTTTTAGCCCCTTATCCTAGTTTCTTCCTGGTTGACCAGATTTATACTCCCATCTGTAAAACAAGAGAATGTCCTTTGCACTTTATTCTCATTGACACCAGGAATTGCTCTTTTTAGAAATTGTTTTATTGTTTTAATTTAAATTTCTTAACTTTTAATATTTTAAACCTTCAGAATTGAAGTATAATATTGTAAAACTTCTTTCCAGTAAGATAGTTGTGAACTTACTGTTTGAGGGGTATAGTTTTCCCACCTCAGGTGGTTGGCAGGGAATGTCAGAAAATGAAATCCTTTCTAGGGTTCGATTAAGTATTATTAATAATCTGTTTACATTTGTGTAGCTAAAAAGACAACTCCACTTTTGAGCTTCCTGAAAAACAAGCAGGTAAACCTTTTGTTTTTCTAGTTCTCACAATACTTCTATTTCATTGGTTCGCATTCTGTAAATTTAAGAGCATTGGGATCGTACAGTAGAGATAGCTGCTTTCTCTACCACTGTTCTTTAAAGATTTGGCTCATTGGCCTCACTCTCTGGCCTCCTACTTCACTCTGGTTGTTGGACCATAGATTCACTCTGCAGAACTAGGGGGTCCTTAGCTTGTTCCAAAGGCACTCTTGATTTCCTGAAAGCCTCTGGGTACTGTAGCAAGGCAGCAGTGGGAGACTGATATGAGCAGGCTGTGGTGTTTTTCTCTCTCATATTCTGAATGGAGTGGGGAGGGGGTTAAGGAAGTGGAAAGTGGGAAGGAAAGATGATATAGTTAAGTGGGTGCCCGCCGTACTTTCTGAACTATGTTTTTGGTGGTAATTATCTTGTCTGAAGGTTTTGTTGATGTTTCTTTGCAGAGGATGAGAGAAGAAAAGAGAGAAGAAAGGAGGCGGCGAGAAATAGAAAGAAAAAGACAAAGAGAAGAAGAGAGGAGGAAGTGGAAAGAAGAAGAGAAACGAAAACGGAAAGATATAGAAAAGCTAAAGAAGATAGACAGAGTTCCAGAAAGGGACAAATTAAAGGATGAACCAAAGATTAAGGTATGAACATAAGTTAAACTGACTGCATGTTGCTGAAAATTGCATGTTCTATTATCTACTTCTTCAAATATGCATGCATCTTGTATTGGTGTAAACTGTGTTTTAGTTTTTGTCTTTTTTGGGAGGGAGTGAATCTTTCCTATAATATTCATGTATTACTCTTAATTTAAGATAATTTAAAAGATTAAGTAGTTTACATGGGATTTCTAAAGTGCAGTGTTAGTTATAATCATTGAAAATGTTCAATTTTGCATTATTATTCTCTCATTTCTTCATATATAAGGGCTTAGGGCTGGCTGGCATGAATTATGGGTTTTATTTAGCTTTTCCTTCATATTTGATACATGAAGTTGCCTCATCTGTTTGTTTTCCACTGTCTTCAGGTACACAGGTTTCTGTTACAAGCTGTGAATCAGAAAAATGTAAGGACCAAGTACATGATACAGAGCACCTAGTATCATGTCACACACACACAGGTCTTAGTTAATAAGTCCTTTTGGTGGTGGTGGTAGTGTTACCTGTAGAAAATGCCCTCAGACTGACTTGAGTCTTAAAAGCTGAACCGTTTTAAATTCGTGCTTTAGAAAGAAACCCAGATGATTTCCTGATGCTCTGCTCTGTACCCAGAAGCTTCAACAATGTGCAGCGAGAGGACAGCCATGCCTTAGAGCTCTTTCTTTCCTCTTCCTTTATACACCTCTCATACCTGGCTGCCTTGTGGGAGTATTCGGAATATACATCCTCTCCCCTCTCACATGATTCCCGACGTTACCTTCTTGTGTCTACCTGGGAATCTGTGAGCAGCAGATTCTGATTAACACACTGCATGTAGGAAGAGGAAAACCTGTGGAAAGACCCCAACCTAGCTGCTTCCCTTCCAGGGGCCTGGCTTGGGCAGTCCTTGCTCCAGCGAACTGCCCAGGGAAGTACTTGTACATAGTATGGCAGAGAAAGTCAGAGAAAATCTCACAGAGATGATGGCAGAGTCTCATTTTACCTCCTCAGAATTCAGCTGGTCAAGTCACTAGGGCACCCCGAGGCTCTCCAGGACTCATCGGTGATAAGGGGCTTGGCGGTGGCAGGGTGGGGAGGTTCTCATCTTAATTCCTTCTATCGATCTGTGTCCGCCCTGCTACAAGCAACCTGACTTGCTATTTCTGTCAGCAAGGCAGAAGGTCAAGCCTGTTACGCTAGAGACATTCGTTAATGTTCTTATTAGAGTAATGAACATCTTGGCTCCTGACGAAGATGTTCATGAGAGAAATAAGAACACTTGCAATGAAACCTGCACATGTTATCCTCACTTTGCACTGGTGCCTTCATAGTGTCCACTCTGGACTCACTGTTTTCAGTATCTGTCTGTGTGCTGAAATACTTCATGCTTAAGTCTCATGCGTGGTGCTTTGCCTTTAGCTTTGTGGCTTGTATGATGCCTTCACACTGAGATGAAACTCTGTATGATGCCTTCACTCTGAGACTTGAAATTCGTAAAAATCTCTCTGAATATCCAACACTTGGGGGTGTATTCTAGAGAGATTTGTAGAAGTGGCATGAGAAAGAAACTTCTGTTAGCAATTTGAACTTTATAAACCACTTTTTTTAGAATTGCATTCTGTCATATATATATATATGACATTGAACAGAGTTCCTATTCAGTAGAGATGGAACTTCACAGTTCTGTTGTATGAGATATTTGGATTTTTAAATCAAATGCCAAATAATTCTTGCTTTTCATCTCTAATGATATGATTGTACCATCATAAGTATGTAGCTACTCTCAGATTCAAGGCAAAATTATTCCTGCAATGGATCTCTCCTTTGGTGACAAGGTATTTGTTATTCTAATAGCTGTGTAAAAATAGTCCAGCAATAATGACCTGGCTAGCATTTTAAATTTGTACCGTATTTCCCTATCAAGTTATACCGACATGCTGGCTTGATACAGAAGGCATACTTGAAAGTATGCGTTGGTCTACTCAAAGGTTGACCCATTTAAAGCCAAAGGAGTCTTGATCCTATTGCCAGAAAGTGATTAAACCACTTCACTTGAGTGTATAACACTTTCACATTAATAGCACCCTTTTAGCAAATTACTGCTCTTTGTGCACTATTTGTTCACCTGAAAGTTTGAGTACTGCAGAGACGGGGCCTTCAGTAGCCTAAATTGAAAATATTTAGTATATTGTTTTCTTTGTGAGAATCAGAAGACAATATCCCATCCTTCAAAATAAACCTAAGTTTGTTCTCTTTAAAGCTGCTCAAGAAGCCAGAAAAAGGAGATGAAAAAGAAACCAAGAGCGCATCCTGCGGGAGAGAGAGAGGCTGAGGCGGCAGGAGGAAGAGCGCCGCAGGCAGAAGGAGCGCTATGAGAAAGAGAAGGCTTTCAAGAGAAAGGAAGAAGAAATGAAGAAGGAGAAAGAAACACTTCGGGATAAAGGAAAGAAACCTGAAAGTACAGAGCCAGTAGGCAGCTCGGAAAAAACTGAAAAGAAAGAAGAAGTGGTTAAGAGAGATCGCATAAGAAACAAGGTGCTGCATTTCATTTAACTTCTTTTCATGAGGGTTTTCTTTGTCTTTTCCTGAAAGTATAAAGGAGAGGGCTAGCTCATTGTTACAGAATTTTAGGGGAACTTTATCTGTACCTTTTTTCAGTCTTGGTGGGGTCCTTTTATTAGAGTTTGTGTGTACTTTTCAAACATACACAAAAGTAGAACAGAGGAGTAGTAGGATATACTTATCACCCAACTTTGTCAATTATCACCTTATGGCCAATCTTCTTTCTACTCTACCCCATCTTACTCCTATGGGATTATTTTCAAGCAAGACCTAGACAGATAATTTCTTCTTTAAATATGTCAATATTAAGAGTAAAGACTTAAAAAAAAAAGTTTGGTCACACTATGAGGCATATGGGATATGGGATCTTAGTTCTCCAACCAGGGATGAAACCCGTGCCCTCTACAGTGGAAGTGTGGAGTCTTAACCATTGGATTGCCAGGGTTTTTTCTTAATAAAATAACCCTAATATTCTTTTTCTTAATAAAATAACCAGACAGAAGAAGAATTTCTGACAATAACTCCTTAGCATCCTATCTACCCAGTGTTCAGATTTTCCCAATTGTCTCATTAACATCTCTTTTCATTAACATCTTTTTTATAGGCTCTAAACAAAGTCCACAAATTGTATTTGCTTGAAATATTCCCTTAAGTCTCTTTCAATCTAAATAATTCCTCCTCCTCTTGTTTCCTACCATTTCTTTGTTGCAGAAACCAGTTTGCCCTATAGAGTGTCTAATAGTCCAGAGTGGCTAATTACATCCCTGTGGTAACATTGAACATGTTCCTCTACCTTCTATGTTTCCTTGAAAACCAGTAGTCATATCTAGAGCAGGGTCAGAAAATTTTTTTCTTTCAAGGGCCAGATGGTAAATATTTTAGGCTTTTGTGGGCCGGCCATGTGGTCTGTGTCAAAACCAGTAAGCTTTGTAGGAAAGTAGGCATAGACAGCATGTAAAAGAATAAGCTTGGCTGAGAGCCAGTCAAACTTTATTCACAGAAGGAGGTGAGAGGTGGGTGGCCCCTCATCTAGAGGCCTTAATATATTCAGACTCAATTGTTGGCAAGAATACTTGATAGGAGGTGTTGTGCAGTTCCTATTGCATCGTATCAGGAAGCATACAATGTCTTGGTATCCATTTATTATGATGTTAAGATTGACCAGTAGTAATGGTACTATGGTTATGTGATAGGATGTCCTTGCTCTGAGGATACACAAGCTGAAATATTTAGTGATGAAGGGTCTTAATGTCTGCACTCATTCTCCAGTGGTTCTGCAAAAATAATAATGTATCTGTATATGTGTGTGCCTGCATACACACTAGAGACAGAAAAGGCATATATGCCATTGTGAATCTAGGAGAAGGGTATTAGGTATTCACTGTACAAGTTTGGCAACATTTCTATAGATTTAAATTTTTTTGAGAGAAAAAGTTGGAAAAATAGCTGATCAATTAGCTCAGGTATTATAAGCCTGATCCATATATTATAGAATTTTTTATCAGCCTTTCTCCTAATGATATTGTTTAGTTCATTATTTCATAGGGAGAGATGGGAAAATGGTGATATATATATACAAATTCTGCCTTTCCTGTTGCATTTATGATCTGAAATTCTTCCACAGAGTTTTCCCTTATCAACTATTTGGTTAGTCTTGAAATTGAGTTCACACAGGAAAGGCAAGAACAGCACTTGATCCATTCCCTTTATTTATAGTACTCAGAGTAATGAGTTGGTGTCCCAGCAACTCGTAGGGGCTATCAGTGAGTTTGTTCTGCTTAGTCTTTAAATAACTTGTGGATTTAGAAATACTTGGTGAACTCCAACTTGTTATTATCAGTTATTGCTCTTGTTGACGTTTAACTTGTCCCATCTTTGCACACTGGGAGCTCCATCATCCATTTCTTTAAATATTATGTGGCAGTCTCATCTGTTTTAACGTTTCATCTTGTTAAAACAGTGAAATGTTTTTGCTGGAATTACTCACTTGAGAATAATGCTTTAAGGCTGTTTCATATGTCAGGGAGAAAGGACAGGGAAGGCTCATGTTGTCTTTTGTTGAATTAGAAAAAAAGGCCTATACACTTAATTTTTCCAGGGTCATATTGTGATAAACCAAACACATTACTTGAACTGAGAGGTACCTGGTGACGATACTGAGGCTTATTTAGGAACCTGAGATCTAAAGTGTTACCTAGAGAGTCTCAAGCTGGGTTGTCACCTTGTCAAATCTGAATTAAGAGAGAGTCATATTTGTGCTGAGTTACAAGTGTCTGAGCTCATAACTTCAGGGATTTTGCATTATTAAGAATTGGCATTCTTTATTATTGTTTTCACTCCTAGAATTTTCTTAGATGGTGGTGCATTTTAAAATCCATTTACTGATGGGGAGGAGAGAGAGACAGCAACCACAGTTTCTAAGTAAAAACTATTCAAGCTGATTCAGTTCATCTTGAGATGGTAAAATTAGGCAGTAAACTTAACAAAATTTACTCCGGGCATATAAAATAATACTTTATAACTATTGCTTATAAATAGTTGTTTTTTATTTATAAAAATAAATAGTTGTGAAATAGTTGTTTTTCTCTGTAGGTAGGGGAAAGGAAGCAGGGAGTTTGAAGCCAAATAGCCATCGACACTTACTGTCATATACTGTGCCCTCAAATTTTGGTCTCATGTGGGCTCTCACTGGTATATATTATCCCCTGGACATGCTTAGTAGCAGTTTTGTAACATGAGTATTTCATTTTACTTTAGGATCGCCCGGCGATGCAGCTTTACCAGCCAGGAGCTCGAAGCCGAAATCGACTCTGTCCCCCTGATGACAGCACCAAGTCTGGAGATTCAGCTGTAGAAAAAAAGCAGGAAAGTGGTATTAGCCATAGAAAAGAAGGAAGCGAGGAGTGATAAGTCCAAATGGCCTTAGGTGTCCTGACTGTCTAGGCAGCCAAAGAGCACGAATTAAGCAATCCAGAAGTGCCTTCAGGGCAAAGGAATAGAGAGAGAGAGAAAGGGGGTCGCTGTGCTGGTGGGGTACACTGCAGAGGAGTATGTTTTGCGTTAAAGCAGGAACCCAATTGCAGGTTCAGATTGGAAGTACAATTTTCATTTTTTATGCAGTTCCTACAAATTTAAAGTGTCAGACAAAGCTGAGGGGGAGAGGACACGCATTGCAGTTTGCAGGCAAGAAATGTCATGAGAGGACTTATTTAGGTATGACACGAGAAGAAGATAGGAGAACTGGCTTTAAAATCAAAAGGTTTTGTTAATCCTGGATTGAATTTTCTTAAATTTCAATGCAGCAGAGTCACTGTGAAGTCTCGTTCAGATCTAGTTATAGTCATTGTTGGTGGTAAATGTTGACTTTGTGTAGTGTAGAAGCAAGAAGCATGTAATTGTAATACAAGTACAGTGAAGGATATAACACATTTTCACTTATGCAGAAATTTAAATAGTCATGTCATGTCAATATGTTTTGTCCTAAAGTTTTAGGATTAGTTTGGGAACCGCTACCCACTCCAGTATTCTGGCCTGGAGAATTCCATGGACTGTGTAGTCCATGGGGTTGCAAAGAGTCAGACACAACTCAGCAACTTTCACTTTCAGTTTAGTTCTTTGTTTGCTTATGTGAGATTAGTGTAAAAAAATTTTTTTTAAAAACATCTCCTTTTGCCTTTAGCAATTTTTATATTTGTAAAGTTTAACCCTTAGTTGGTTCTTAACAATCCAGTCTTTGTTTGACCTTAGGTCTCATGAGCTGAGTGCCTACCCTCTCCAGGAAGGAAACTGCATCAATATTTGTTCCTGTTAAATAGCAACTTAGCTTGTTTTGCATTGATGTCAATAAATATCAACATCACTCAAGTATGAAGCTAAGTGTGTTTATTAACTTTACAAAATAGCTATTACTTTTGAGAAATTAAACTTTTGATATTTAACCTTTTGGGAATTTTGAAAGTGGATGAATATTTATTTCTACCTTTACTAGCACCATGCTTTTATTTTGCCCACAAAGAAGACCAAATCATGGTTCACCACTCTTGTTCCATAAGAACCAGAATTTGTCTGGACAACATCCTTGAGCTGCTGCTTCATTTCCGTCTTGCCAGTTTCTCCTACTATGATGTCAGTTTGCCTTTACTTAATAAGTCACTGCTTTATGTTTACTCAGCTTTTAGAAACCAGAATCCCAAAAGGCAGGTAAAGAGGAAGAGACATTGAAGGTGATTGAAAGAGACTGGTCCTCAGCTGACACAAAGGAAGGGGAATTTCAAGAAGAATGTCTGGCAGTGTCCCATGCCACAGGGAGAGGAGATTAAGCAAGACAAGAAACATGCAGCATTCATTGGATTTGGCAGTACTGAAGCATGTGTGAACTGGTGAGGCAGAAACCATGTTATAGTGAGGGGTGAGTGGCAGGTGGGAAGTGGAGATGGGGGCAGATGGACATACGGGTCTTGGAGCTCAGAGGAGAGATTTGCACTGTAGATACCAGTTTGGAATTCATCTATTTTTAGGTGATCACTGAAGCCATGGGCCTGGATTTAATCACTTAGGGGAAAAGAGTAGGAAAAAAACAGAAATAGACCTAGAGTCCAGCCTTAAAGAACTCTTAAGGATGCCAAACAGGTAAGGGAATGTATCTATAAAGGCAGAAAAGGAGTAGCCAGAAAGTAGGTGAAAAACCAGCAGACCAGTATTACCTAACCCAAGAGAAAAGAATGAAGGGGAGTGGCCATCAGAGTTAGATGCTGCTGGAAGGTCAAGTGTGATGCCTGAAAAAAGGCCATGGAATTCAGTGACTTACAAATTACTGATGACCTGGAATGATAAGGAATGAAAGCCAGACTGCCCTGAGAATGGAAACAGCATAGAGAGCTTTTCAGAGAAATCGAAAAAAATGGTGATAGATAAAGGGTATTGGGGAAGGATTTTTTTAAAAAAATATGACAAATACTAAAGCATTTTTAGAAGCCAAAAGGAAAGATCTAAGAGATGAATACCCAGGGGAAGAGAGAACCAATAGTGTAGGTTTCCTGAGAAGGCAGGTGAAAAGGGAGCCTCTGGACAGCCGAGGTTGTTGACAGTAGAGGAGTTGGCCTTGGGAGGAGCATCACCCCACAACTATCAGGCATGAGTTGGCATCACTTGCCTCTGTACCCAGCCTGGGGCCTGTTTCCAGCCCTCATGGCTGTTTTTGTGTCCCTACATCCCTCTTCTGCTGGCCTTGCCAGTCCAACTCGTTAAACCATACTTACCTATCCCCTGTTAAATTTCCATCCACTGGCCAGTGGTGTCAAGAGACAACCAGAAATAACCAGAGCACAGTGCACCATGTGAGAAGGGCTGTGGTGACAGCCTGGAGTGGGGATCTGACCCTAGGCTGCCAAGTGTTGCTGAAGAAAATCCCTAAACCAGACCAACTGCTGAGACTGCAGGAGGGCCCTCCCTCCTGCGAAGCAACTGATTGCATTTTTGCCTTCAGATACAGGTTTGATTTCTTTGGAAATAAAGACAGGATGGAGACAGTTCAGACACTGGATATCTGAATATTCATCTTAGCACCTCCTGTATGTTGGTACTAAGGCCATAGTTGTGAATAAGGTCCCTGCCCTCCTGATGCTGACAGCCTTGCAGAGTTTGCTGCTCTGGTGGAGAAAAGTGATGCTAAGGGAAAATAGGCAGGAAAAGTTCAAGGAGCAAGGGTAGTGAGAATAGGTACCTACAGGGCAGTGAAAAGGGGGTGGCCTGTGCATTCATGAGGCTTTCATGCCTTCAAAATCAGGGACTATATCCCCTTGCCCAGCAGGCATATACAAAGTAGTCCTGAGGCAGTCATTTAACTGATTATAAATTAAGATCTAACTTGACCTTATCTTTAGTTCCATAGGAGATTAAGAGTTTTGTGGCCTTTTCTGGGTATATAGAAGCTCAGTGTTACATGTTTTTATGGGGCAGTCCAGAATTTACTATCTCTGGGACTGTCCTCTAAACCATAAAAATGTATTATGACCATTTATATCCTTACAAAGGAAGCAGGGAGCAAATAAGCTGACATTTGGTGAATTCTTAGAAAGTGTATACTGACAATATATAGGATCGGTCATCCTTCGAAATCTCACAGAGTTCATTTATTCATCTACCAAATACTGATTCAGCTCCTACTATGGAGACATAGGTAAATACCTAACAGTTCATTGCTACTGTGGTACCTGATGTATCATCTACATTTCCAAACTTTTAAGACTCTCCTCCACATCTCCAGCCCTGACTAATCCATCCCCTGGACATCATCCAAAGACCCCAAGTATCTCTGGCCACAAACTGAACTCAGGTTCCTCCCATCTGGTTTTGCAGAGGATGTGAACCACCTACTCACTCAGCACTGAGGATCAGGTCTGACTCCATCCTCCCTCCCCACGGCCACTCAATCATTCTGCCCATTCATCTGCCTCCTCTCCAGCCCTTTGTAGCACAGGTTCAGACTGCCATCATTCATGCAGCCATTTAGTCATTCACCATTTTCTGAGCACATACCATATGCCATTCATGTTCTAGATTCTGGAATTACATCAGTGAACAAAACAGACAAACTTCCTGCCTTCATGGAGCTTACGTTAAAGTGGAGAGAGAAAATAAGCAAACTACTTATGGTTAGAAAGTGACAGGCATGAAAAAGAAAAAAAAAAAAAGAAAGTGACAGGTACTTGGAAAAATAAATCGGGGGGAAAAAGGAGTATGATGGTCGTGGATGGGGGCTGAAAGACTTCCATGAGAAGATGACTTTTGAATAAAGAGAAGGAAATGAGATAAAGAAAAACCAGAAAAAAAAATTCTGAGGGAGCAGTCAGTAAGATAGGAAGAAAACCAAGCAAATGTGCTGTCCTGGAGGTCAGGTAAATAAAGCATTCTAAGGAGAGGTCAGCTAACACAAATGTTGACAGGTCAGATCAGATCAGAGAAATGAGGATTTCACAACACAGGGGTCACTGATAATCTTAGGACAATTTCAGCTTGAGTGCTAGGTGAATTGGAGTGGGCTCGTAAGAGGATGGGTGCCCACTAGGATGGCTATAATTTTTTAATAGAAAATAAGCATTTGGGAGGTTGAAGAAAAAATTGAACTATTATGCAGTGTTACAGGGAATATAAAATGGGAAACAATTTGAACTATTACAGGGAATATAAAATGGGAAACAATTTGAACTATTACAGGGAATATAAAATGGGAAACAATTTGAACTATTACAGGGAATATAAAATGGTACAGCCATTGTGGAAAATACCCCACTAGTTACTCAAAAGGTTAAACAGTTACCATATGACCCAGCAATTCCACTCCTAGATATATATCCAAAATAACTGAAAACAGGTACTCAAACATACTGGCTTCCCCAGTGGCTCAGTGGTAAAGAATCCTCTGGCCAATGTGGGAGATGCAGTTTGATCCCTGGGTTGGGAAGATAGCAACCCGTTTCAGTATTCCTGCCTGGGAAATCCCATGGACAGAGGAACTTGGAGGACTACAGTCCATGGGGTAGCAAAAACAGTTGGACACAACTTAGCAACTAAACAACTCAAATGTAATTGCACACCAGTGTTTATAGCACTATTCATAATAGCCCCAAACACAGAAGCAACCCTGCTGTCCATCAACTGATAAATGGATAAACAAAATGATATGTCCACACAGTGGAATATTATTCAGCCATTAAAGGAAAGAAGTACTGACACATGTCACAATATGAAAGAACACTGAAAAATTACATTATGTGAAAGAAGCCAGACACAAATGGTCACATAATATATGATTCCATTTATATGAAATGTCCAGAATATGCAAAGTCCATAAAAACAGAAAGTGGTTGCCCAGGCCTGGGAGGAGAAGGGGACTGGAGAGTGACTGCTAATGGGCACAGGTTTCTTCTTGGGGTAATTAAAATGTTCTGGGCTTAGATACTGGTGATGGTTGTACTACCTTATGCACATACTAAAATCCACTGAATTATACACTTTAAAATGGTGATGTTTATGGTATATGAACTATAGCTCAAAAAGAAAGGATGGGGAGAGTAACTGAAAAGTACATATAGACAAATCTCACAGTTTTGTTATAAAGGAAGGAAAACAGAAGTAGTTGGAAACGGAGTTGTGGTAAAGACCAGGTTTTTGTTTTGAGTGGATTTTTAAGATGGGAGAAAACCACGTAATTATCTGTGCATTGATGGGAACAATCCAGGGAAAAGCAGGGACAGAAAGGGAGAAATAGCCAGAGGCAGGTTTCTGAATAGATAATAGGGGTTAGGATCCACTGTAGGAACAGGACAAAGGTAGAGAGGATTGGAGTACAGTGCTGGTAGCTGGCATATGGTGGGTGAGTTGTGGAGTTCTGTGATTGCTGAAGTTTTCTCAATGACTAGGAAGCAAGACTGTCGCTGAGAGTGAGAAGGGAGGAAGCAGGGCTAAGACAGTCATCCAGGCCAACAGTGGGCAAACTGTGGACCAAGCCTGGCCACTGCCTATTTGTGTATAGCCTGCAAGCTGAGAATGGCTTTTGTATTTATGTTATTTTTCAGTCACTCAGTCGTGTCCAATTCTTTGTGACCCCATGGAATGCAGCACGCCAGACATCCCTGTTGTTCACCATCTCCCAGAGCTTGCTCAAACTCATGTCCATTGAATTGGTGATGCCATCCAACCATCTCATCCTCTGTCGTCCCCTTCTCCTCCTGCCTTCAATCTTTCCAAGTATCAGGGTTTTTCCCAATGAAGTCAGCTCTTCGCATCAGTTGGCCAAAGCATTGGAGCTTCAACTTCAGCCTCAGTCCTTCCAATGAATATTCAGGATCAGTTTCCTTTAGGGT